GAAACTTGTTTTATTCTGTTTCTATTCTCATTTCATTACAAATATGGCGGTATCGTGTGCTGTTTTTGCTGTATTTAATTACAGACAAGCACACAAAGAATCTCAGATTTTTAGTAGTATATAGATAGATATATTTTTATAATGTGATTCTGCAGTTTCGTTTTCTATCTCTTTATAGAATTAAACAGAAATATATATATAACGTCAACTTTTCTTTTAAAATCATTTACAAGAAAAGAAAGACATATTTTTCATCATAGAAGAGTCAGACATTGAGTGATTGGTAGTTTTTAATTAGTTATATTTGAAATTCGTCAGTTTATTTGTACATGTTTGAGATTACTTCCGTACAGGGTAAGAAAGTGGCAGTGAAACCAGTAACGTTACGCGGTCCGAAGCTCCTCGTGACTAGGGCTGTACTCTTGGACTTTAAGCAGGTATGTTTATTTACTGTAAACAATGTCTAAAGTCAATTCCATTGTTACTTTTATTTACTGTAAACAATGTCTAAAGTCAATTCCATCGTTACTTTTATTTACCATTAACAATGTCTAAACTCAATTTCATAGTTACGTTTATTTACTGTAGATAATCAGTGTATAAATTGAATTCCATTGCTAATTTTTTTACTGTAAACAATGTCTAAACTCAATTCCATTGTTACTTTTATTTACTGTAAACAATGTCTAAAGTCAACTCCATTGTTACATTTATTCACTGTAAACAATGTCTAAACATAATTTCATTGTTACTTTTACTTGCTGTAAACAATGTCTGAAATCAATTTCATTGTTGCTTTTCTTTACTGTAAACAATGCCTAAATTCAAATCCATTGTTAATTTTATTTACTGTAAACAATGTCTAAACATAATTTCATTGTTACTTTTATTTACTGTAAATAATGTCTAAATGAAATTTTATTGTTGCTTTTACTTACTGTAAACAATGTCTAAATTCAAATCCATTATTACTTTTATTTACCGTAAACAGTGTTACTTTATTTTAATGAGTTAATTCAAATAATGGGAATTTGAACTATTACTCTACAGATGAGAAGTGCCGTCCATGAAAATCTCAATCATTTCGTTGGAATTTGCCCTGAAGTTCCAAATGTGGCCTTTTTGTCCGATTACCACCATAGAGGCACTTTGAGGGTATGTATCACGTGCACTCTAAGAGTAGACACTACCTTTCTTTAATATTTTGAACATTATTGCTGTTATCTCGAAAACAAAAACAAATAAAGAGAAACACAAAGTACACATTTGAAGATGGTAAAAATGAAAGTCAGATAACAAAAAAAAATCATTGTTTCTATCACACAATGCACATAATGCATTCATAGAGTTGATTTTATTGTTCTGGTCAAAGTTGTTAGGTATATTTTAGAATAAATTTGTAATTGGAGTTTCATAACAAACAATTTATTTCCAGGATCTTCTTGACAACGATGCAATAAAGGTTGATTGGCCCTTCCGATTCTCCGTAATAACTGATATTTGTGAGGTATGTATATTTTAGCATTTAACTGCAAAGACAATTCTTCTAGAATTGGTTTATATAGTGGGTTTCAATCTGCATTATTTTCAGATTAGCAGTTGACCCACTGACTTATTAACACATTATAGTTTACTATAATTGAAGTAATACAATCCATAACATCTCACTTGTTTTTCTAAAGATGAACAAAAGATATGTTGAAGTTTATTTCGCAAATTAAAAAATCTGATTTATCTTAAGACATTCACGTTAGTTGACACTGAGGCCATCTGTTGAATTTTTAATAATACCTCACCTTCAGTCCACAATGGTTCCAAGTTTCCATCATTTCCTGTACACCCATGTCCATCTGTTGATTGTTCAACAATACCTCACCTTCAGTCCACAGTGGTTCCAAGTTCACATCATTTCATGTACACCCATGTCCATCTGTTGATTGTTCAACAATACCTCACCTTCAATCCACAGTGGTTCCAAGTTCACATCATTTCCTGTACATCCATGGCCATCTATTGAATGTATAATAATACCTCACCTTCACTCAATAGTGATTCCAGGTTTCCATCATTCTATGTCCACCTATGGCTATCAGTTGGAGCCAACCTGATAATTGATATCCTTATGTCTTGTTCTAGCCATTTTCTTTTAGGGGAAGAGTTCCAATATACACATTTTAAAGAATTTAATTTTTTTCTGTTGCACTCTTCTGTTTGATCACGAAGAATCACAATTCTTTCACTTTGCGTCTTCGATACTTGCCATAAGTTACACAGCTTCCATATGAGAACGTAAATCGTCAGATACACCCGAGAGTCACGAATAATCGCAAGCACGGGTATAAAGTTTTGACATATGTTAAATCAGCTTTACTTTACCGTTGAAAATACTCATGTTATCCCAACTACAGTACGATGTTGTTCTGTGTAGCCACAAGGAAATTCAATCACATTTATGAGCCTCCTATTGTATCCTTTCTCTTTATCGAACAATATGGCAACATTCTCTAATCGGAGAGCATAGTGCAACTCAGTGAAGAAAATGTCGCTGTCAGGCCTTTGCCTTTTGATTTGGATGAAATCGCACTGCTTGTCCTGTCCATATAAGAATCATCCAATCTTTCAACTCAAGTTCCTTCTGTTGTTCCTGCTGCTATTTCCCTGAAGTTCCTTCTTTGTCTATGCTGCTGTTTCCCTGACGTTCTTTCTGTTGTTCATGCCGTTGCCTCCCTGACGTTCCTTTTGTTGTCCATACTGCTGCCTCCCTGACTCTTGTGCCCCCTTTCTTTATTGTAAAATATGCAGTCTGGCACTTTATCATTGTTGAGGACAAGGTTTTGATGGACTTTCTGAAGCTTGGATTTACCATATAGGCGACTTATATTCACGGTGTTATCTTGAAGGTGATTCAGATCCAAGGTGATATCTTGAAGGTGATTCAGATCCATGGTGATATCTTAAAATTGATTCAGATTCATGGTGATATTTTGGTAGAAGTCACAATTATATCCTTGCTCCTCACTTGGTGTAAGGACACAAATCTCCTCCACCCCGTAAGAGGAGCCCACAGGCTGTGCTAGTCTTAGTTCACGTACTTCTCTTAGTTTACTCTTGTGTTCGAATCTCTACATTGAGAAAAAATTTAACTCAACCAGGCTTTAACTCTGAAAAATGAATCACACAGAGTTGTGTATTCTTTGATTTCAACCTTTCACAATCCTTTCATTTCCTCCTCTGTGTTTGTTGTTTGTGTTCCATGTTCATATGTGCTTGCAAGACATCAGTAAGTAGAGAAAGGGGAGAAAAGTGTATTTAAATACTTTCAAATATCAACACAAAACAAGGCAGAAATATCAACAGCTAGTAACAAAATGTAACTTTTGTTACTAGGGGATGTTATATCTACATAACAGCCCCATAGCAGTCCATGGCAGTTTGAAATCAACCAATTGTGTTATTGATGGTCGGTTTGTTGTCAAGCTAGAAAATTTCGGACTCTGTGCTGTGAAGGAGCAAGTTATGCCTCCAGAAGAAATTAATCCAAGTGAGTTTTTACTTCATCTTGTTTCTCTCTCTCTCTCTCTTTCAATAATGCAAGATAATATTATAAACACATAGCATGTTTTTAAAGAGCCAACAACAATATTTAGAAGTACCTGTCCGGTTTTATAGTTACTATTTATTTGATGACTAGAATATCGTCCTTCTAGCTCTTATAGGGATAATGTAAAAAGTCATTAAGCATAAAAGATATAAACAAAAGTTTTTAAGAGGGGTTGATTCAGGAGTGGGTGGATGGGTTAAGTAGCCTTCCTAGTCTAGGAGTAACAAAGGGTAATCAGAACAAAAAGAGGGATCTAAAACAGTTATGAACGCCTTTGACAAACAGGCGAAATAACTTTCTTCCAATTCTTTAAAATCCCTAAAAATGTAGTGTTTAAAAATATATTAGGCCTAATACTAATATCTTATGACAAGTATGATTAATCACAATCTAAAATACGCTACCATCCCCACTCTTGCCATATGCATGGTGTTTTGAATCAACTAGTCTTTATCGTTTAAAACGTTTTCCGGAAAAGCATGCCCCATACTCCATCAAGAAGCCACCCCCTAAACAAATCCTGGATTAGCCCAAGTTTAAATTAAGCAGGTTGTATTTATTCACCCAAACTTGTAATTCGTTCATTTTGATACGAAATTATTTGCATGACACCTAAAAGCTCGATAAAATAGGTTTAGAAATTTTGCTCCAATGACGACTAACATAAATTTTAAAATGATATGATTTTTTACAGGATCATTATTCTGGACGGCTCCAGAACATCTGAGAAATAGAACATCAGACACTAATAGGTCCCAGGCTGGTGACGTTTACAGTTTTGCTATTATTCTACAGGAAATTATTACAAGGACTGAACCGTTTGAACCGGTAGAGAAAGATGGCGTAATTATTGAAACAATAGAAGCAAAAGGTGAAAAGTGGCACGAAAAGAAAGTTTTGTTATTATTTTACTGCTTTGTATTTATACATCTTTCATGTTGTATTCCTGAACTTTATCCACTTTCCAGTATTTGTTGGTTTATAAAAAGCAGTTGTGTGTTTGATTTTCCTTAAAAATTGATCAATCCTTCATTATTATACGTATAAAAACGTATAAAGTATAAAAAATCTAGTAATTAAGTTAATATCTAATTACGAAATGTTAAATATTTTCTTGGCATCTGGTTACGGCTTATTATCTATAGTTATTACAAATTTGATGATTTTTGTGTAATTTTTATTTTGTTACTATGACAGCTACTTTTTAACACTTTTATTGTGTTTACTTCATATTTGTTTAATTTTTATCAGTTATCTAGTTAATATTTACTAGTGGAAACATGGTCGTACCAAATTCTGTAGTTAATATTTTTGTCATGATATAAAAGACTTTTTGGTTTAAATATTAGTGATTAATTTGTATTTGTGAATGAATATTTTATTATTTTTGAGTTTTGTTATAATAAGAGTTAAAAGCAGACGATTGTAGAAAGTTTTGTTAATTGACTAATTGGTGTCGAGATCATAGAAAGTAGCCAGACGACTATGTAATAAAGATACAAATAGCATGAGAGGAGCGGGGAGCAGTAGACAGACAACAATAGACAGATAATAGCAAAAGAGAATATAGTTGTGTGAAGTTAAGTACCGCAAAGGTGATAGGCCTAACATTTAATATGTTAGAGTGAAACTAACAGTATGAAAAAGATAAGAAGGATAATTTTATTCCATCAAACTGTGGATCTAAAGTAATTGAATAGCCTGGGTACACTTTGACAAAAGGAACAGAGGATCTTCAGAAGAAAGAAGACCAAACGAATTACGGTAACTTGCGCCATAACTGTAAATTAATCACAAAGAATACTAGTACGATAGTAATATAGAGAAGACAGTTCGACTTGTCAACTGAAATTCTAAAGTAATTGAATAGGCCTAAGTGGATATTAGACAATAAGAGAACTATATATAAATAGTGTTTATGATATGTCTGTAATCTTTATAGTGTGAAGACGTTGTTGTACACAGGTTTTACTTGTTCCGAATATAT